TTTGAGTGGCCCAAACTGTTGTAGTAATGAATATCTTTTTTTTTTTTTTTTTAGACAGAGTCTCACTCTGTTACCCAGGCTAGAGTGCTATGGTGTCAGCCTAGCTCACAGCACCCTCAAACTCCTGGGCTCAAGCAATCCTCCTGCCTCAGCCTCCCAAGTAGCTGGGACTACAGGCATGCGCCACCATGCCTGGCTAATTTTTTCTACATATTTTCAGTTGGCCAATTAATTTATTTCTATTTCTTTTAGTAGAGATGGGGTCTCACTCTTGCTCAGACTGGTTTCGAACTCCTGACCTTGAGCTATCCTCCTGCCTCAGCCTCCCAGAGTGCTAGGATTACAGGTGTGAGCCACCACGCCCGACCAGTAATGAATCTTTTGATGATTGTATCATTGTTGAGATTCTGCTTACAGGGCTTTGGGACAAGGACAGTTTTAGTTTTCAGTGATGCCAAATAAGGAAGATGGGAGAAAATTTGAAACTGTTAATTACTGACAAAATATACAAAATAGCAGGACCTAGTTTACAAACAGATGACAGTAACTCAAAGATAATCAACAGGACTAGAATCTGATAACTCATAAGGGTGGGGTATAATTTTCCACTAAAACAAACTTTCTTTCTATAGTCAACCTAATTTTTGATAAATGATAATCAATGTAAGATTGTTCTTGCTGAAAAAACAAGTCTGGTTTCATTTTATTTGGCCTGATTATAACCTAAGTGAAGCAAGAATGGTAACTGAACACACAGGTCTTTTTAAGTTTTTATTGCTGGAACTTTTCATAAGGATTCTCAGATTGGACTTCTAAATGCCTTCTCAGAGGCTAGGAAGCCAAGCCAAGAACTCACCACCCTTCTTCACCTGCAGTAACTGTAGATTTTGGTGAATTCCTCTTTTCTCAGGGTCCCCAAAATATTCCAACGTTCCTGGGTCTTCCAGGAAGTGACCCTCCTTACTTATCTAGAAGTCTGGGAACCCTTTACTCTAGGTATCAGGCCAGTTTTTCCATGAGGGCTTTGTAAACATTGACTCTATAAAATCAACCTTAGTTCCTCAAAACTGTCTGATCACATATGATTTTATGTACTTCAATATCAAATATTACATTCCAATCAAAGCCTTTGGTATATGACCAATTCTTACAACAATGTCCTTTTTATTAGGTAGTTAGCAAGGGATCTCAGGTCTCCTAGGGACAAAAGTGGGTGCTGCTCTGATTCACCACACCCCCAAAATGGGCTTTCAGAGAGGCTCATGGGAGATCTGCATCTGAAATAAGACTCAGGTCATGTATCTCCCAACTGTCCAATCAAAGTGGTTCTATGGTGACGTTTGAACCATGGGAGGGCCCAATCTGGGCACTGTAAGACTAGACACAGGCCATAACCAGGCTCTCTTTACCCTTCCTTTAGCTCTCCCTTTGCTGTGACAGTGGGTCCAGTAGTCATCTGTGGTGTACGTATCATGCTCTGTAAACCTTATGTTGCTCTTGCTCTATCCTATCTTTCTCTCCTCAATAAACCTCATTTTCGTGCTTGCTTTACTTGGTGTGTCTGGTCATTCTTCGGCCATGAGTGCACCAAGAACTGACATTTCAGACTGAAACTTGAGGCTTTTACAAGGAAGACAGATAATTATTAAACTGATGGAAATAATTCTATTGCCATGGAAATAAAAATATTCAATAAGAATTTCCAAATTCTGGAGTATCGTGTGAGGAGTAAAAAGATAAATGCTTCATTTCTGTTTATAAAAGTGTAATCTATTAAATTGTTATGAATTATAGGTAGCTAGAGAAAAGAGGAAAAGGTTTCTTATATCCCCAAAGTTGAACATTAAAGAACCAGCAGTGTTTCAAACAAAGACCATAAAAAATTATAATCATCCTTTATCAGTCTGCTGAGGCCCATATAATACATTCTTGTTCTTCTTAATTTTATGAGGAGTTTTATGAACCCCTCAGCTTCTCCTCTAGAGTTCTGAAAATCCTTACTCAGAGAAGTGGGATGACCTTAAAATTATTTGAACAATGACATAGAAAGGCTGTATCCCAGAGTACCTGTCATAGTCATTTCCATGGATTTCAAAGGGAGTCCCTATTTGTTGAAGACAAAGCATTCTGGCTAACTGATTTCAGGAGCTTTCAGGAAACTGTCAGAATAAGACAGTAGCTATCTGTGAGTGACAAAAACATTAAAATGGCCATAGTTAAAAATCTGAGGGAAGTTCATTTTAACATAATTGCCAAGGGAATTTGGTGTTTCTGTAGAATACAACTTTTAAATTATGGATTTATGACTGACAACATTATATCAGGCCACATCAGGGAGAGCAAAAACCTTGGCAAATTTCTAGAAACTTCATACAATTCTAAAATAATAAAATTTTACCCATGCAAATATAAGGAAGTTTAAGTAGCCCTTCTTATCCAACAACCTTCCCATGCAATTTAACATATCAAATAATATTTATTTATCAAATTTATTATTTTGGAATAACAAATATTTGGTTAATGTGAGAAGTCAGTCTAACATGTTAATAAAGATAGCTTCTCTAATTATATATTTAAGAATAGACTACATATATATATCATGTATGTTATCATATATTATGTGTACATCTAAATATTTAAAAGCTGATGAGTAAGTCATCACCTCAGTCACTTCTTTCTGGTGGTGGTGATGGTGGTGGGTGGCCTCACAAGATAATCTAGAAGGGCAAAACACCAGCATATGGAGGAGCACAAAGGAGAAATATAGAGTCTATATCACATCATGAATAATTTGTGGCATATTCTTTATAAAAATGCAAAAGCAGGTGGCTACTATTCCAAATTTGAGAAGATAGAAATGATTTCTTTCACCAAAACCCCCCTATAAAGAGCATTGTATGTTTACAAAATTCTTGAGCACACTGATTACGGAAGGAGATGTGATTCCACAGGGTCATTCCAAGTAGCAAATGATGATCACCACTGTGTCCTCTAAGGGTAGCAGGATCGATTAACTGATGTCCCCCTTTATTTTGTTGAGCTCCATAATTAGTTGGTCATGTCACTCTAGGAAATATCACTCAATTACTTTCTCACTCTGTTTAACAGAGGTGAAAATTATTTGAAATTCCCTAGGAAATTCCAAATTTAAGGAGAGACTAACACAAAAATAACCAGCTGAAATCAAAATCAAAATAAATTAAAATCAAAATAACCAGAAATCAACATAGGAAGTAATGAGAAAAGGACAGTATCAAGAGGCCTGCGATTGAACTACTCCTGTACTTATGCCCAAACCAAGCTGGCCCCAGAATGAACAAGCAGCTTGCATCCCAGCAGGACCCACAGAGAAAATAAATGTTTACTATACCTCATGGGTGTATTTCTGTGAAGTCAAGTGCTCCTTCTCCTCCCCAAACTAAGAATTGGGCACTAGGAAAAGTCCTTAAGTTCCCAGTTAGAGTTCGAAAGTGTGCTTAGAGAAGTAGAGAGTGGCTTCCAAGGCTGAAAGGGACTTTTCAGAGAGATTTGATGAGGTGAGCAGTGTATCTATAGGAAAGCAAGGACACCTTGCCTCTCTCATGGAGTCTTCATGTATTGAACCAGGGGTTCTCAAACTTTTTAAACAGGGAGCCAGTTCACTGTCCCTCAGACCGTTGAAGGCCCGGACTATAGTTTAAAAAAAAACTATGAACAAATTCCTATGCACACTGCACATATCTTATTTTGAAGTAAAAAAACAAACGGGCAAAAACACCCGCACATGGCCCATGGGCCATAGTTTGAGGACGCCTGGTTAGGCATTTCTATTCAGATAAACACATTAGCATGGGTTATGCAGTTAACTGACATGAAATCTATAGCAAATTTGCCTTTGTTTATCCAGTTTAGTTCTATTTGTGTCACTTTTCTATTTAATCTCCATATAAAACTAAGAATTACTTGTTTATTCATATCCTTTGAAATTTAGTGAAATAGCTACTGTAGTTTTACTAACAACTGTTGAGGGTAAGAAAGATAAAACATAATTAATATTATTTATGTTAACTTTTTAACCAAATTTTGCTTCTTTGAAATTCTAAAAAATGCAAATCTGGTTGCAAATTGAGTTGAGTTTGAATCCTAATTTTGCTGAAGCTACTTAAATCTTCTTACCTCAGTTTCCTAAACTGAAATATATGCAAACCGATTGTGGAATTAAAGATGATACGTATAAAATACTTAGCACACATTAACAAAATATATGTATCAAATATTAATTTGCCCTGCACCTGTACTGTATTAATCAGGCTTCAATAAGGGCTTAGACACAGTGCTATGAAAAATCTCTTCCAGTAGAAATGTATTGTTGGTTAAGCAGAAGTTATGTAGCTCCTGCAGAATCAATGCTACCATAATGTCAAACCATCATCCCTTTAATTTACCCCTATTGATCAAAATGAGGCAGCCAATGACAGAAAAGATGGGATATAAATCTTGATGATAATCTGGGCCAGTGGGAACATAGGTTGGGAGATAAGCCTTGGTTTTACATCTTTAGCTCACCTTTTATCACAAACAAGTAACCTTTTCATTTCTCAAAAAGTAGCTAGAAAGTCCTGGTTTTCTTAAAGAACACAGCGACAATCTTTCACTTATTATCTGCAAATTACACGTCAGACACAGGAAAAAATCCTTTTCTTCCAGAATGTAGTGATGAACATTAAAGAATTAATGGCATTTCTGTGATATATTTTCATGAGTTTAGCATTTTCATTTAGCTGATTAAAAAATCTGTTGTAGATGATAATTATGCCAGGTTTTTTTTTTAAATCATTCAAACACTTTGAAAATGATTTTAAAATCTCTAAATGGCTTGTAGCAGATTTTTATTTCTCAAAGGGTTTATTTCTACTTAAGGAAAATTTGCTTAAATTATGCCTTTTTGTCATATTCTCAGTAAATTTTAAATCAATGCAAAATGAATGGATTTGTATTTCTAAAAATAACTTCTTTCACAGGAAGAAGAACTAAGGAAGAGTGGGGAAGCCAAATATGCCCACTTGAGTGATGAACTTCATGTATTAATTGAAGTGTTCGCTCCACCTGGGGAAGCTTATTCACGCATGAGTCATGCATTGGAAGAAATTAAAAAGTTCCTGGTTCCTGTAAGTGTTTTTCACTTTTTACAAAGATGTTTCTCATCAGTTTCTATTTTCAAATGTGCCTTTGATATTCACTGGCTTTTTAAAAGGAAACTCATATTGCAAACTAATTATCTAAAATAATATAGGATATGAAAAAACACTTAGCACAGGACCTGGTATGTTGTCACATAGTGATGGTTTGATAGCAGTATTTGTCTTCAATATATTACATGCCATGCTCCAGTTCATAGCCATGAAGAATAAAACAAACGTATAAACACAAATATATAACTGACGTTGCAGACTTTTTTCATGTATCTTAATCACTTGACATGTCTTGTTAATTTATAATTAATAGAAAAAAACATTTGCAGGCATGGTAGAAGAGGAAAGAGATTAAATATGTGATATTTAAAAGAAGTCAATGATATTATTTTAAAATATCAAATGTATTTTTATGTGATGATATGCCAGGTGCTGCCTCAGTATAAAACATAGTATAAAATAATCAATTTAATAGAGCAAGACATTTGCCAACTTCAAGCAAAAATTGGAAAAGTAAACTCACTGCATTAAGTGAAGGCAACAGAGAATGTTCACTTAGTAGGGCAGCAAATGCAGGGTTGCATTTCGAGTAGAATTCTTTATTGATTTTCTAAGAAATAGAGGATGTTAAATGAATGAGACTTTCCTGAAAGTTGACAATTTAGCATTCTAGGAAGAAGTTGTTCAAATAGAAATCTTGGCATCAGGCTCAGAGCTGGGAATAAGATAATTAGAAGAGAATGCTGAGTAAAGTTTTCTGGAGTGTCTGGCAGAGTCTTCAGTAGAGAAAGAGTAGCTAAGATTAATCTGCACAGTGAAGAAACAGTAGATTTCTAAACTAAGCAATAAATTCAGAGGAAATGGTGGATAAGTTTTGTTGATTGGCAGCAATTTTGACAGTGAGAGAAGAAAAAAAATCAGAGAATTTCCAGAATATAAAACCATTACAAGCTAGCCACATAATTTCTTTATATGTTCAGTTTAAAAATTAATTTCTATTAAGGCAAGGTAACACAATAATCCCAGACCAATCGGATTATTCTTTAACTTCACATGCACACAGAATTCTGCACAATTTATTATCTGGTGCTAACCCTATACACCTCCATAAATAGATCTCATATTTGTTAAGAATGAGTATACTATGATTTCTCTTCCTTTTGCCTTTAAACTAAAGGCCTACTGCTCTATTGAGTAAAAAAATTTACCATATTTAGCTCAGAACAGACTAGGACTGCTTACATTACTAACTCATTCCATGATTCTATAGACAAGTCATTTAAATTCTCAGAGCTTCAGCTTATTTATATTAAAAATGAAGATAATTATAATTGACCAACCTCTATCACAGTTATTGTAAATATTAAATGGAATAATGTATATGAAAGGCCTTAGAAAATTATAAAGTACTATATCAATCCATGTTTTTAATTTATTTTATTGTTATAGTAAATAGAAAGATCTAGGAATGAATTTCTACAGTAAAATATGTAACACAAAATGGTATTTCATTGGTACAAATATATTGGATCTACTCTGTAGGCTAGGTTAGCACTCCTTTATTATAAATGTCAGCAATACATCTCACTTGCTCACTTTTAAGACATCATGATAGTTGTAATCATTTCATTTTTATCTTCTCCATTGAGACATATATAGCCTGAGGGTAATCTTAGCAATGTCTCTCTTGGCCAACATTGTAACCTCATCATTTTGCATCATGCCTGGGACAATAAATATTTGATAGTATGACTGATGGAATGGGCCAACTAAAAGGTGCCAGGAGTAATGCAATGGGATAAAATAGTTGTCCTGGTCACATTTGGGAAACAGTATCTACAGCCAAGATGCACCATATGTACAGACCCAGATGAAAAATGAAAATCTTAACTTGGCTGATGTGATGACCTATCCCTGTCTGTCTCTGGGATTTCATCTCTGCATATCAACTGCTCACTCATTGTGTTCCAGACATGCTGGCTTTTGTTCATCCAACACTCTGGGCTCACTACTCATGAAGAGTCTTTGAGGATTCCTCTCCAAAGTATTGACATGGCTATCCCCTTGGCATTCAGATGTCAACTGGAATGTTGGCTTTGTTGGAAATTCTACCCCAAACACACAGTGTACAGTAGCTGCCTCTATTATCTTCAGTCACACAATCCTATTATATTTTGTTCACAGTATCTCTAACCACCTTATTTAATATTTCAATTTATTGTCCCATTATACTCTAGACCTCTCCACTTATTTATTTTCCTTGTAGTTCTTATCACCTTCATATACACTCTCTCTTTCTCTTTCATTTTCTCTCTGTATGCATAAATATATATAAACTTATTTGTTCATATTGGTTTCCTATTAGACTAAATTAATAAATGTCATGAGGGCTATTCTGATATCTCTCTCAATGTTATGTTAGTAAATTTTGCCATCAATGAAAGTCCTTTTACCTGGTAAATTTTCCCCATTTGCTTTTCTTGGCTCAGCAGCAAGCAAAGGATGGTGGTATCTGTCTCTTTTGACCATCACCAGAACCACAAAAGGCAGAAATTTTTTTGTTATAGGAAATCACTTTGGGTCTCTTTTGATACCTGATACTAAAGTCCACAGAAATGCTAACAATATTTGTACACTAACATTTACAAATAGCATAGGTAAAGAATTATAATCAGTGAGAGGCATTCTGGAATAACACAGAAGGCTAATTAATGTAGGGTAGGGTAGGACTCTGGAATTCCACTGACATTTCCTTCCTCTACAAAATCGAGTGTCCTTCCATGGTAGATGTTTTTACTTTTCTTTATATCCTATAAGTTGTCCAAAATTTACCCAACTCACTCTATGTCCAGGGGTTCTAATCATCTAAGACTACCAACTTTAGAACATACAACTCCTTGTGAAATGTCTGAATGTTTTAGGATAAAGGAAAACAATCCAGTTTCAGCACTTTAAATGAATTGTTACAAACAAAAGAATTATTATCACTCTGGGGAAAATTCCCAGCTGGCTGGTCCCCATTCAGACACGATAGTCTTATCAAAACAAGTAGATCAGGTCAATAAGACCTCTTTAATTTGAACATTGCTAATTTTAAATCTCTAATGCTTTGAGGAGATGTTGTATTAGTATCCCTTGTATTTGCTGATTTTTCTTAAAAATACAGGCTAGGATTATAAAATAAATTATTTGATAAATAACAACAAAAAGATATAAAATCCTAAACTAATACATACATCAATAATGTTAATGATCTCCCCTTCTTTTTATATTCTACAAAAAGTGAAACAAATATTGTCATTATTATATTTTATACTATTGCTTTCTTTTAGAGTTCACACACCAGGACTGCCACATACTGTTGTGTAGGTTGTGTAAGTTCAGTCTTATGCATCTCTGGGGGGGTGACAGTTACACGATAGTTTGTGAATAGTACTTCCTAGGACCCTGAGCACAGCTTCCCTTTTGCTAACCCTAGTCAGTCGGTTACCTCAAAATAATGACACTGTGTTTTATTTTTCTAAATCGGCTGAGTCTCACCTTTAATTAAATTTAATTAGTAAGCCTTAATGCTTGATTATTAACTCATGATTGAAACATACTCCATTGTCTCATAATTAGTAATTGTGAAGCATTTAGCAAAATTCTGCTCATTGAATGTGTGTTTATATATCCTTTCATTAAAAAAAGAAGAAGATGATGAAAGGAAGAGTTTCTACTCAAATAGGAAATCAGATTTAGGTCACAGGTAACCAATAGATTATGTTATTACCGGTTCCAATAGCTAAGTTACCAACTTAATTAAGAGCTCACAATACCCCTTTCTATTGAATCTTGTCATAGCCTCAGAAACTTCCCAACACAACATGCTTCGCAGCACTATAATATTATATTAGCAGAGTTGATAGAACTTGAAAAGTATTTATCATGCCTGCCTTGAATCTCTAATTATTATCACTAGAAGTTTGTGTAATTTAAATAAAAGATACATAACTTTTATATCTATGTAAAGAATGTGTGTGGGGGGGGTGTATCCTTCAGTAGTCTTACATATATGCTTTTAAGCCAATTCAACACAGAAAAAACATGGATCATTCCAGGTTATTTCTTTTCTGCATTAGATTGAGTATGTGCCTTAGTGACAGCTGTAATTCTTGAAATGGGACAGTTAGGGTATATTATTTCATTCCAAATTTGAGATGTCAGAAGCCCAAATCAGAAACCTACCAAGAGTCTGTCTGTGGAGGAAAAAGATAAAACCTTTTTTCTTCTTTATGGTAAGAAACAAATAGAGGATGTTCTTACCTTCTCTTCTTCAAACACTATGATCCTAAAGCTCTGAAATTGGAAAATGACACTAATTACTAATAGCAATCACGCAGGACTGTGAGTAGATGTAAGGAAAACAGGAAAGGAAAGCAAGGTGTTCTCAATCTAGGAGATGGGAAAAGATTTAGACTTTCATGTGCTGAAAAAATTTTTATAAAGTTTTGAAATATGCTAAATATAAAAATGTGTCCCTGAAGTTTATGTCATAATTTGAGAAAAAGTAAAAATTTGGTCAGTCTTTTTTGCAAGTGAATATGTAGAGAAAATAATGTATTCAGCAAAATCCCATCAGCCATTGACAAATGGCAAGACCTAAAAGGTAAGAGATGGCAGACACCTTTTGGCTGGCTGACAAGAGTTCATTATTTATAGCAAATGTCATACAAACGAGAATGATCAGTTACAGAATTAAAAAAAAAAAAAAAAAAAAGCAAAGCTCAGTTCAGACAGGAAAGCAAATTCCATAACCTGGATATTATTCCTTTATTGTTGTGGTTGTTAAAAGCTTGCCAAGAGTATCCTCACATGGCTATCTTCAAAACCAGTTAATTCCCTTTTCTTTCTTATAATTAACCATATTCTAGTAATGTGGTAGCTAATGACAGTAAGCACAAAGCCACATGTATGGTTTTGTATGTAATTATTAC